CGCCCGCCCCGCCGCTGCGCGGCCCCCGCGGCTCACGGGGTCGTTAGAAGCGACCGTGGGTTATACGAAATAGATAAAATACGAAATAAATACGAACTAAAACGGCCGTGGCGCGGCGCGAGCCTGGCAGCCCGGCTGGAAAAGGGCCCGGTTGGATCGGCAGAGCCATCCGGACAAACCCAGAAGGCTGCCCTGCGCGCCCTCCAGGACGCCAGGTACCACCACGCTGTCCAAATACGGTGAAGTTTCAGTGACGGATCCAATAATTAGACTCCTTTGGTGCTTTATCGATGGCTTAAGTGCCAAATCAGAGGATAGAGTGCCATCTACTGAACCAGGTAATTTCCTGCAGCTAGCCTTTAAAAAGGTATGTCAAAGCAGTACCTAAGTGTGCGTGAATCTAACATCAGCCACTCAGAAAAATAGTTTCATGCATTCTTTTGCCCTACAGAATAATCTATAAGAAGCATAATACAATGAGTAAACCTCTGCCTTGTATTTGTAGATACTTTTTTTTGTTATAACTTGGGAAAGCGGCACTCCTGCATGCAGATGGAAAAACGACAGAGCCACACTACTGATACAGCATTTCGAGATGATGGGAGCCACTGGATAATCAAAGGAGGTGCCAGGAAATTAAGCCATTCTCAAAACCAACTGCTATTGTCACTAGATTTTCAGTGACCCCAGACTGGACTTGGGATCATCATACAATTCTTCATGTTTGAGTTCAGAAGTAGGTAAAAAAGAAAATCAGAACTGGGCCCAAGAATAATAAACTTAAATAAACACGTAAGACCTAAAGAAAATAACGTCCTTAAAATTATATCCAGCGAGAGTCTGGAGTATTTCAATTATACGAGAGGCACACCAGTGCTTCAGCAACTACAGTTCACACTGAAGTGCCACACCAAACATTTCACCACACTTGACAAAGCATACATCACTATCAGATAATAAACCAGCATGGCTGGGGAACACTATCACGTCCCTCCTAAGCAAAGGCGCTGTTCTCTACAACCAGAAATTCATTAAAGGCCTCGGGAATTTCCTCTTTATTCCAACTCTGAAGCAATTGCGTTGTTACCGCTGTTAATTGTTTGATCCCTTGCTTGAATACATCTTTTAAATGAAGCCTCTCAATTCCACCTAAATTATGTGTACACAACCAAAGCCTTTCTTGCATATAACCCAAGATGTACCTTAACCTCTGGAGTGGACTTACGTAGCCATTCAGGGGATAACCTCCCGTCTATCTGCAAGGACTAAAACGCACAACTCCCCATTAACTGGAGATTCTTGTGCTTGTCCTTCACACATTCAATGCCCTAGCAATGAAAGTACCCTGCAATATTCAAATTACAAATGCGTGAAAATAGATGTATTGAAAAGAATGTTACCACAAAGACAAACACACTAGTGGGAGCAGATAGCATAATCGCATCAATGCACATTCAATGAGAGATTTTAAACAGTAGTGTCAAATAAAAGCAGTGTGACATACGTAGAACAAAAAGAAGAAAAATATATAAGAGTTATAGGAAGTTTAACTAGTCTATTAGGTAAAAACTTTAAAATGACAGACTGTATCTTCCTTACTATAATTAATGATAGAAAATTCTGCCTCTGGCACTTCACTTGCAATCAAAAAAATTCACTGAAGCCCAGCTCATTGCACCTGCATAGAACTGAAAAGAATTTCCAGTGGTTCTTATTTTAGGAAGATGTATAATACAGTAGCTGGAACATCATTAATCCTCCTGTGCAAAATATACATTAATTCTCTTTGGAAAAAAAACAACATGTCATAGCCCTGAACGCACTTCAAAAACATAAAAATATCACAGTTATTTTGAAGAAATAGTGCTAAAAATATCATTTTCAGCAAAGAAGGCTGTGACTAAGTCCTCTGACACAGAGCACAATTACAGGTGACTCACTGAAGAAGTCAGAAGCAGTACGTGTCAGAGCCTCAGCTCTGAAGCTGTGTCTGCTGATCCACTGATTCTTCCTTCTTCTGCATGTCAAGCTAACGCATCTCGACCTGCTTCTCACGATACAGCGTCAGTCTGAAAGCCACACACTGACATAGGAACAGAGCAGTGTCTGTGCTGGGTTAGACCAGAGGTCCACCTCTGAACTATTTCCACTTCCCATCTACATCTTCTGGAGATGAGGGAGCCAAACCTGCACAGTCCTCAAGACACAGGTCAGCCACAGATTCAGACAGGGGCACAGCAAAGGTCCTGACTATCTCCTGTACTCCTTTCCCAGTACTGCTTCACATTTGATTCACTTTCAGTCTTCTGAGCATTTAGCATTTTTATGGAACTGATCATTCTCTCCTGCTTTCTGTTTCTCGTCTTCTGACCAGTTGTTCATCCATGGAAGGGCCTTTCCCTTCGCGCTGCTGAGAAAGCCTCTTGGAAATCCAAGCTTTTGCCCACCCCACTGTGCATACAAGCCTCCCTGCCCTCTTCATCCGGGTACTACTATGGTATATGCCACTTCAAGACAAATGACTCCTAAAACTGTCATCTGAACAAAGCTACACTAAGCATTCTTATTCGGTAAGGCGTCGCTTTTAATAACAAGAATAATTAATTTAGCTCAATCTTCAGAATAAAGTGTGTGTTATCCCCGTAGCTCTTTTGCACCTTGATCTTCTTCCACATAGTCCAAAAGAAAGTCTTGACCTGCACGTAGGAGGCACCAACCCCATTACCAGGGTTTTCACTCAGGCTCTTCTCCCCTTGTGGGCACTATGGTTCTGCTTGCACTGATCCACTTGCAGTATCAGAAAGTTTGATCTCAAATCCTTTTAGAAAGGAACCGTGTTTCTGATTGTTTCGCAGTGTGCTTAGCATCTTTGCATGTTTTACGCTGACTGCAGACATTCAACAATATAATGTTACAGTTCCACTTGTTCATCCAGTACTGAGATTGCCTGAGTAAGTTACGTTTTATTAAACAAAACAACCTAAATATCCCAGTCGCTCTGTTTCTAACTATGCTGAGTTGAACAGGTCGCTTTTAGGAGGTTCAGAAAAGGTCGTCCAACACCTTAGTTTTCTGAATTATTTGCCAACTTTCGTTTCAGCTACAATACTGCTAGAAAAGCTGTTATTGCAGTTTCTTCATCCTAATCAGGAGCAGGAATTGGTAGCTTTCTTATGAATTGGTAAAATTCTTACAAATGAGACAACTGTCCTTCTGAACCCCAAAGATGCAAAGCACTCCTGTAAGCTTCAAGATTTCTGTGCGTCAAGTCTTTAAGGTTCTCTACACACCATTTTTTAACACTTACCCATTGGCGGTCAGACCCTCTAGCCAACACAGGCTATCCCCACCTGTGGCCGTAAGGGGATGCTTAGGCAGCAGTAAGAGCAGGGTAAGCATATATGATACTTTCCCGGAATGCTCTTCCGTCCTTCAAGTATTTTCAGCTCAAGCGAGTTTCTGAGCTAGGTATCTCTGTATTTAGTAGCTGTCAGTGGATTTCTCTTCCACGTACTTGTCCAGCCTTTCACTCACCGATGTAGACTTCAACATTGCTTGGCAACAAGCTTCACACGTCCTCTACCCATGGTGTGAAGAATCACCTCTTTCTCTTTGTTTTGAACCTGGATCCCATTAGTTTCATTTGATATACCCTAGTTCTTGTCTTAGAGGACAGAACAAACAGTCAACGACTACTGACCTTCCCTATGCCACTCTTGGTTTTGCAGACTTGTGTCACACCCTCCTTAAGTTATCCATTTTCAAGGTCACAGGTTAAAATTGATTTAGTTGTTCCTTGCAGAGA